TGGTCACCATCAACATAAGTAATCATGTTATTGAAAAACATGATCCGTTTATAGTAGTTGATGAATTACATTAAAAACCAAAAGATTTCACAAAATATCAACCAGTCACAGCTGTCTGATTTCCCAAGCGTCTTGGCGAACAACTGCTTCTGTAAGATAAAGACTTATCGCCCTTTTGTATAGCTCTTACATGTCTCACATCGGCTCTCTCTGTACAAGCACAAAGGAGAACTCCAATATATTCAATATATATATATATTTTATATTTGATATATCAAAAGGAAAAACAAAGTTTGTTTTGGTCGCCTGTTCAAAGCTTGTTCATTGTTTGTATGTATGGAATACACTCCTTCTTTCGTTTCTTTTGCTTTAGTAAGTGTTTCTTTGATTCAGTACAGTATTTGGTTGATTGTTGTTTCTTGTATATAAATTCATTGAAAAATGACGAATGATTATGTACCGTACAGTATTTATTGTAATATTTTAATACTTTCTTCATTATGACAACTACATTTAGAGGGTTATGAAATTTGTTATGAAAATATAACATTGTGGCTGACTTTAGTAACAGAAAGATCAATACTGTCATATGTTCACAAATGCAATATTATACAAGAGAATTCGTTTAACGTCGATTTTAAGGCACCAGCTGCATCTTCCTTATTCAAAGATAATTCAATATAATACAATGTATAACAGTTGTTAACTAATACGAACATATATACACACAATATGTTCATGATTAGTTTTGTACAATAATAATACAGCAAAATACACTGTATGCCAGTTTATTACAAATAAGAAGAACGATGTGGGTCCATTGTCAATACACATTGTCATTCAGGATCGGTATACAAAAGCAGATTGGGTTTAGCTTATTGCCTACACGGACAGATAAAGAGTTGTGGCTGGGGCAGCTACACCAATATCAGAAATGAATCCTGTTTCAAAAGCAACGCCTCCAATTTAGACCAATTGCTGTTTCGAAATGAGCACAGTTCTAAACAAACAAATTCACTTGTTCTTGAATCTGTTCACGAATTTATCACCAAATATAAAATTGTTTACATGATCTTCCATCACTGTACATGTTATCGTGTGCATCATAGACTTACCACAACGACATTGGCCATTATAATGTTATCTTGATTCATATGGTTTACTGAATCAGACTACATGACTTTTGTTTTGAGGACATTAGTAAGTTTAAATGTATGTAATGTTGGATATAAGTAGTATTTAGGGGGTGTATACGAACTCCTGATATTGCCGTAAGCATAACACACGTACAAAAAGGTATTCATCTCTGTCTTCCCCCAGCCGTGATATTGGTGGAATATTGCTAAAAGTGGCGTAAAACCAACATATACATAAAACAACCATGTCTCAACATTACTTAATCAATATAATTTTGTTTCTATTACTTTGTACTGGAACGGTATTAACATATGTCTGATGACCTGTTTACCAATCCACACTCATATTAAATAACATGTTTAAATCATATGTCACACTTATAAAAATACCTCTCAAATACCTTAAATACAACATCCTCAATATGACGATAACAACGAAATAAACAAATTAAGAAACATGACCAACATTAGGACTTGAAGTGAATTTTGTGATATGCCCTTAAATATTGCTGTATAAATATGTGTATGCTTCTTCATTTTGTGTGGATTCTGGCATAAATACAAGCTTCGGTTATTTTTTAAATTCTTTAATCATATATGTTCATGTGTACATTTTACTAATTTCATTTTAAAGCAAAAGTTTCACTGTTATCCCAAAAATGCAATTATGTTCAAACATATCTTTTCAGTCACTTTTCGTTGAAACACGAATTACGTAAAGTTGATTACGTTGATTATATAAAAGTTTTTACAGAAAAATAAAAATAAGTTATTCAGATGCCACGTGTCTGTAAACAAGATAGATTTTAAATTTTCGTTGTCACAGAAAATGTAACAGGGTCCTGTTTAACAGAATGCATACACGAACAGGGAAATATCGTGACGTAATTTATACAGAGCTTCATTCAAGAGAGTCATAACAGCAGTCGTGTTGAGCAGGTAACACAGCACATAAACAGACATGCATGGTTCCTTTTCAATGTTTCGTAGTGCATACCGCATTTCTAATGCAATAAACCTCTCCTGCCTTTATCTTGCCGAGTGTACACATGAAACAACCTTCACACTAATAACTGCAAACGTGGGGCGTTGGAGAAAATCTCAAATGTGATGCACATTACTCCAGCAAATTATATATCTGAAGTAAATATATTATACAGATTAAGGTAAGGTGACTGAAGTTCAGTAATCAGTTCTGGTTCAGGTTTTGGACAGGAAGCTAACACCAGTGAGCTCAGGTTAGTTTTTCACACCATCCCTCATTCATAATCCCTTCAATAAACACAGGCAAAACAACAAGAAACTTCAAAGCGACACAGCGATTCGGCTTCATGGGAATACTATAATTAAAAAGGTCCGAATAAAGAGAGAGGGGATGAAGGTACACTAAACAACAACAATTCCTGTGACATTGAATAAGATTTAATGCAAAGTTATTTTTTTTACCAAATCTGAGACAATTTCGGTTTGCAAGAGATAAAGGACTCCTGTAAGTGTTCAATTGGTTTCATTTGCCATACTGATTTCAAAAAATGCGTGATTTCATAAAAAAAACCATGAACATGCCAAAATGACATTTTACAAATCAATAGCGTGTGTGTCCACCTCTGGTTGCGATGCAAGCAACACATCTTCGTCTAATGGAATGGATCAGGCGTCGCACAAAGTCCTGTGGGATATCTGTCCATATCTGCTGGAGCATGTTTCGAAGTTCCTGGATTGCTGTGGAACACGTGGTTGACGTCGAAGGCGAGAGATCAGTGGAGCGAGCCGGCCAGGGGATGACATTCACGTTGTTTTGTTGAAGAGATACCTGAACAAGTCGAGCAAAATGAGGCCGGGCGTTGTCATATTGAATGGTAATGCCTTGGCCATGACGACGCAACAACGGTAGAACAACAGGGCCGATGATCTCGTCGTGGTAGCGCTGTCAATGAGATTTCCCTCTACACCTATCAAACGGATCCTCTGTTTTGCTGTAATCCCACCCAAAACCATAACGCTGCCGCCCCCGAACCGATCCTCTTCCATGACACAATGATTGACGTAACGTTCACCTCGACTTCGGTACACTCGAATCCGTCCATCGCTGTGGCTGAGGTGAAAACGAGACTCGTCGGTGAGTAGAACTTGTCCCCACGGCATGGCCATCCAGCGTAGACGCTGTCTGCACCACTGTAGACGTGTTTGACGGTGGTATCCTGTCGCAATGGGACGTCTGGCCGGTCTTCTGCTGGCGACAATCCGTGCACATCTGAGGCGACGACGTACGGTTTGTGAAGATATTCGTGGAATGCCAGGGATGCTTCATGCAGTCACTGTTGCTGGCTGGAATCGATTTCGTAGGTTTGTTGTTCGAATCCAGTTGCCTGCCTCTCCGAGGATGGTCTCTGACTGCATTCGTCTGTTGCCAACTTTGCCATAAACACCAAATGGTGTTTCTGTGGACGTTAAATTGTCTTGCAACATCACGTTGACTCGATCCTGCTTCAAGCATACCAATGGCTCGCAGGCGCTCATTTTCGGACAGACGTGGCATTTCGTAATGTAGAATAATTGCGTAATTTTGTTGTTTTTCTGAGTGGTTGTTGTCAGCACGATGCTAAACAATGCATATGGAATCACGTTAACGCATACCCATTCTTGGGTAGTGAAATGTATGAGGTTTGCATAAAAGTCAACTTTTGCATAGAATGCATGCTTTTCTGTAGCAGTTGCGTTTTTGTGACTTGATTCAATACATGTACTACAATATTGAAAACCAAACTTTACTTGTTTGAAAAATACACTAAAATATTGGTGTCACAGGAACTTTTGTTGTTGAGTACATACGTATGTTCTTCTTGTGTGTGTTTGTGTGTGTGTGTGTGTGAGAGAGAGAGAGAGAGAGAGCGAGGGAGAGAGAGAGAGAGAGAGAGAGAGAGGGAGAGGGGGGGGGGGGGGCAGGTAGGGTCTAACACAATTCATGGCATTTATGGCCTTTGGCATTCGTACTTGGTCCAAAGAAAAATGAATTACAATTCGTTCCTAAATAAATTATAGAAACTAATTAATTTGATCTGTTACATGAAATTAACAATTATATAAGGCGTATACAGAAAAGCGCCAGATTCCAAGCTCTCTGTTGTCCCCAAAACTTAAAATTCAGTCTCTTTGTTGATTTCCATCGTGTTTTCTGCACGAACTGTATTGTCCCACATGCTTTGAATATTGTAGTAACCGCAGCTTTGCATTTTGTAACTTATCATTTTAGGTATAATTAATTTAACATGCCTACCGAAAATGACTAAAAGAAGTACCATTCTATGAATATTAGCTTCCGCGGTGATGCGGCCGTCAAACCAGCTGTTTCAATGAGGTTTATTGTGATTTAATAGCCAATGATTGGTCAGTCAGAATCGAGTAGTTTCCAAATTCATGGTAGAATTAGTTGTAACGGTTTCCAATAGAGGATACTTTTCTACTGTCGATGGTGTGGTCGGGTAGCCTAATGGTTGAGGCGTTCTCTCGTCACGCCGAAGGCCCGGGTTCGATTCCGAACATCGGTACAGTGTATGAAGCCCATTTCTGGTGCCTCCCGCCGTGGTATTGCTCAAATATTGCTAAAAGCGGGGTAAAACCATACTCACTCACTCACTCACTCTACTGTCGAGGTGTTCTTGCTGCGTTGCCTCTGTCCCAGCCTCTGTTCACAGCTGTATAAGCCCAGAGTCTGTTACTCGATACTCCGCAATGGGTTTTGTGAACTACTTGCTTTGTCAAAGCAGTAGATGTAAACACAACAGGTTATATCGGTGCTTATGAATATGAATACAGCGCTCTGACAACACAGGCACTGATACATTACCCAACAGGACCAGTCTGGCACATAACCTACATAGAAGGCTGGTGTCATTCCCACGACTGCATCGTGGTCGTGACAAGGGACATCATTGTTCAGAACAAGGTAAGTCTGCCTCAGTTAGAGAAAATACGAAATAGAATCTAAACACACAACTCTACATGTCGACAATTAGGAAAGAAGTCCCACTTCGTCATGTCATCGCAGTATGGCGTTTTATCATTTCCCTAGAGGGCTGCAATGTAAAGCTAATGCGTAGATATGTGACACATTTCTGGGTTATTATGTATAAGTTTCCTTATAGTGAGTGTGTGTGTGTGTGTGTATATGTGTGTGTGTGCGTACGAGTGCGTGCGTTCGTGTGTGTGTGTGTATGTGTGCGTGTGCGTGCGCGTGAGTGCGTGCGTGCGTGCGTGTGACTATTGCCGGTTCAATAATGCCAGACTACTGAGTTTGACATGTATATCCCGCTCAATCACAGTATATTGACTCCGATCCTAATACTACCTGTTTTATCACCTGAATGCCGAAAACCAGGCGTGGTTAAAACAAAAGTCGTTTTAATCTCTTTTGGTATAATGCGGCTGTGGTAACGCTCTGTCCACTGGTCAGTGTGTTGTTGAAAAGCAGTCCCTAGCAAATTTCTGGTCCAACTGAATCGACAAATGAAACTTAACATGTTTGAATGTTTGAATAAACCTAAAACGAATATCAATGTCGGAACGAATCACTTACGTCATCGACCCGTGAAGATCCGGGGCTGAATAGGTCTTATGCAACCCATGCTTGCCGTAAAAGGCGACTAACGGGATCGGGTTGTCAGGCTCGCTGACTTGGTTGATGCATGTCATCGTATCCCAATTGCGTGGATCGATGTTCATGCTGTCCACCGCTGGATTGTCTGATCCGATTATTTACAGACCGCCGTCATATAGCTGGAATATTGCTGAGTGCGGCGTTAAACAACAAACAAACAAACAAACAAACACTTACGTAATCGTTGATGGTATTGCGTGCACATAATCCAGTGATTCTATACAATGTATCACGTGTCCCTGTCTCCTGACCACGCGTGGGGTCAGTGATCACCGATTCTTCTGTGCCCAACCATTACGCTACATCATAACAACACATTTAACAACGGGACAGGTAGTTGCATGGCCGACATTTTAATAACGTACATGCATAAACATACACACATTACACCATACATACTTTTGATCATTAAATACATTGGATCGCACATTCAATTAATCACGGTCTTTCCAATGAGGATACAGTACCATTGCAGTTAAATCATGAAATGATATGGTTGGAGAGAAATGCACGAGTGACCATGAATTGTGACCTGTTTCACCTGTGACATGAGATAAACCTGTCCATATTGAGACAACGAAACAATGTAGGTACAATGGCAAACACTTGTGAAATGAAATAAAATTAAAAAAACATAACACATAATGAAAGTCTCGGATACATTATATTTATATAGTTCAACTGTGCAATCGTGTCAGCTTCCTGAATCATGTTTACCATATCATCAGTGGCAAACACAAGCAGCTTGTCATCGTCACCATTATTCACACACAGAAACTCATCTCCATTTTTCGTTTCCGCCCACCCTCCATCCAGCTGAACGTCCCTACGGGACATCGGCAAGATTGGCATCATTTTATTTCTTCATATTTCTGCTTGCATACCTTGTCTCAGTCTGCTGAGGAGGCTTAGCTGCACTTCTGATGCCACTGGTGGATGGTTGTAGTCTGATGCTGATCTGATGAAATCTCCAACCACTGGTGCACCGACATTTGCACCTGAATGCACACACTTCCAGTGTGTTGCAGCCTGACGCCTCACGGTGAGCCGGTAATGGTACCCCCGTGGAACATGTGCTGGTCACCTGTCTTGAATCCAAGATACTCTACTCACTGAATATTTGCCATGATGTGATATTTTGACTTGCCAAAATCTAGTTTTATACTTTTCAGTGTGATGGGATTAAAATAGTGTAAGTGATAAACGTCGACACATTTTACTTAGTCTAATGTTAATTGAATTGATCTCTATAAGAAAATAAAGCATATACGGGCAAATGAATTAACATCTCTACTCAGGTAACGATCTGGCTTGTTTTCACAACAATGGATTAAAATTTAAATTGCATTGATCTTAAAAATAGTTTATTAAAGTGATTTGTTCTTTATTATTTTGTTGTAAGTGTTTTTACAGCAAGTATTTGATTCATCTACACATATTTTTAGATTCTTACATTGTATACAGGAATCTGCAACAGTACAGGGACTTGATTGGGCAGCAGATTTTGACCTACTAATTTTATACTCTTATCCTCGAGAGTTAACTCTTATGAAAATAAGTCAAACAATACTGGTTCAGCCCATTTACAAAAACAGGGATGGAACCGAGTTCCCAATGTGCCTACAGTAATTTCTGTTGGCAAAATGGGATGTAGGCACAGTGATATTCAGCATCTACCGTAGGGTTTACATAAACACTTGACGTGATATACAGCAACTACCACAGGGTTTACATAAACACTTGACCTGATATACAGCAACTACCACAGGGTTTACATAAACACTTGACCTGATATACAGCAACAACAGGAGAGTTTACATAAGTTTTACACTTGATCTGATATACAACAACTACCACAGGGTTTACATAAACACGTGACTAGATTTACAGCAACTACAACAGGGTTTACATCAACATTTAACCTGATTTACAGCAACTACCACGGGGTTTATATTAACACTTAACTAGATTTACAGCAACTACAGCAGGATTTACATAAACATTTGACGTGATATACAGCAACTACCACAGGGTTTACTTAAACACGTGACATGGTTTACAGCAACTACAACAGGGTTTACATAAACACTTGACGTGATATACAGCAACTACCACAGGGTTTACATAAACACTTGACCTGATATACAGCAACTACCACAGGGTTTACATAAACACTTGACCTGATATACAGCAACAACAGGAGAGTTTACATAAGTTTTACACTTGATCTGATATACAACAACTACCACAGGGTTTACATAAACACGTGACTAGATTTACAGCAACTACAACAGGGTTTACATCAACATTTAACCTGATTTACAGCAACTACCACGGGGTTTATATTAACACTTAACTAGATTTACAGCAACTACAGCAGGATTTACATAAACATTTGACGTGATATACAGCAACTACCACAGGGTTTACTTAAACACGTGACATGGTTTACAGCAACTACAACAGGGTTTACATAAACACTTGACGTGATATACAGCAACTACCACAGGGTTTACATAAACACTTAACGTGATATACAGCAACTTCCAAAGGGTTTACATAAACACTTAACGTGATATACAGCAGCTACAACATGGTTTACATAAACACTTGACGTGATATACAGCAACTACCACAGGGTTTACATAAACAATTAACCTGATATACAGCAACTTCCAAAGGGTTTACATAAACACTTAACGTGATATACAGCAACTACAACATGGTTTACATAAACACTTGACGTGATATACAGCAACTACCACAGGGTTTACATAAACAATTAACCTGATATACAGCAACTACCACGGGGTTTATATTAACACTTGACTAGATTTACAGCAACTACAGCAGGATTTACATAAACACTTGACGTGATATACACCAACTACCAAAGGGTTAACATAAACACGTGACTAGGTTTACAGCAACTACCAAAGGGTCTACATCAACACTTGACGTGATATACAGCAACTACCACAGGGTTTACATAAACACGTGACTAGATTTACAGCAACTACAACAGGGTTTACATAAACACTTGACGTGATATACAGCAACTTCCACAGGGTTTACATAAACACTTAACCTGATTTACAGCAACTACCACGGGGTTTATATTAACACGTGACTAGGTTTACAGCAACTACAACAGGGTCTACATAAACACTTGACGTGATATACACCAACTACAACAGGGTTTACATAAACACTTGACGTGATATACAGCAACTATCACAGGGTTTACATAAACAATTAACGTGATATACAGCAACTTCCAAAGGGTTTACATAAACACTTGACGTGATTTACAGCAACTACAACATGGTTTACATAAACACTTGACGTGATATACAGCAACTACCACAGGGTTTACATAAACACTTAACGTGATAAACAGCAACTTCCAAAGGGTTTACATAAACACTTAACGTGATATACAGCAACTACAACATGGTTTACATAAACACTTGACGTGATATACAGCAACTACCACAGGGTTTACATAAACACTTAACGTGATATACAGCAACTACAACAGGGTTTACATAAACACTTTACGTGATTTACAGCAGCTACAACATGGTTTACATAAACACTTGAAGTGATATACAGCAGCTACAACAGGGTTTACATAAACACTTGACGTGATATACAGCAACTACAACAGGGTTTACATAAACACATGACCTGATATACAACAACCACATGTGATCTACTGCAGATATAAATGTTAACGGTTGAACCTGATATACATCACCTTACATATACATTTATTATGGCTTTTCAGACCAGTTTAACATGCCTGGAGACTAGATATGCCCAAAAGTACATCAGATCAGAAATATGACCCCAGTATCTACCGGGAAAAATACTCACAGCAACGCTGCACTCAGGCGGGGGAGAAAGTAATTCCTCGCCAATTCTGTCTTCAAACGAAGGGTAACATGTCTCTGGCAATAGGCACTGGTTGTAAAGCCTTTAGTGTGTACGTCCATCACATGCATTAATGGACCCTGTCACACGTTGTCTAACTGATGCCAGTCGCCTGAATACGTTAGTGGGGATTCTTTACGCTTTTTGAAATCTGTTGAATTGTTCTGTCCATGTGGTCTCGTCAATATGGGCGGTCGAGTAGCCTAGTGGTTAAAGCGTTCGCTCGTCACGCCGAAGACCCGGGTTCGATTCCCGACATGGGTACAATGTGTGAAGCCCATTTCTGGTGTCCCCCGCCGTGATATTGCTGGAATATTGCTAAAAGCGGCGTAAAACCATACTCACTCACTCACTCTCGTCAATATACCTTAGAAGTTTTGTCGAGTGAGCATGCTGGCCGTGGAATAATGTTCACAGTAATATTTTGTTAACCCTGAACAATTTATGTTGTATGAGGCCTTGCGTTGTCATGTTTCAGCAGTGCTCCCTGGGGCTGTCCATGTAAAGGTTGCAATGCATCTAGCTGAAGAACTTGATCCCTGTATTCTTGAGCGTTGAGATTGCTATTTATGATCACCAGTTTTCTGGTAATAGCCAATTCCCTTTCACCGATTTACCCACATGAACTCGAAATAAAGGGTACCAGTGACATCGCCTCATCTGATAGACAAAACACTCTTGATCAAGGTTACAACATTCAGCAAAGTTTTAAACGTTTCATGGTAGACATGTGTATAACATTTCAAAATTTGGCGCATCAGTGACAATAATGATGTCCTTTCGCGAACACCTGGTATCGTCACTATCTGAAAGTGATTCATAAACACATGCTCATGATATCGTCGGAATCGTTCAATCGACTCTGCTTTTAGAAGAGATTTCCTTTGAATATGGGTTTTATCGCTTTTATGTAAACACATAAAACATACTCCATATTCACCCGATTTGACATCTTCAGATTTCCCAAACTTGCAAAAAGAACTGTCAGGCCAGTATAAAGCATATTACGATGACGTCCTTTCGTCCATGGAGGACTGGAAGCCTTCCACATGACATGGTTCCTGGCACCGTGGGTGGACTTCAGAGGGGAGGGGGTGGGGGGTATGTTTGGCGTTATGATCCCAACGATAACATATTCCAAATAAGATGTTTGCATCACATCACATTGCTTCAAAAACAGATTTTTACTGCTCGTTGCAATAGGATGATTAGTGTTACATAATGCTGGGTTGATTCTCAATGTCGGTACACAGAGTGGACCCCAATGTAATGCAATGTAACTTTTAGCTCACCTTAACATCGTCGGTGAGAGTTTGTGTTTTATAGGCCAGCCGTCAAGTGACCTGTCCGTTGTAAGTTGCTCATAGTAAACATCTTGTTCCCACCAAAGATGGCACGGTAAATGGTTCAAGAGGTTCTGACCCTACTTGTACTAAGTCCGCCATTGCAACCATATATGTGTTAAAGATGTCCACAACGTGAGCAAATCATATTAAACACGAGTACATCATATTTCCAATTTTGTTTTTAGCCTTTGTAACATGAATAAATGTTGCTTGTACATAACATAGTTCGTGTTTAAGTTTTTAGTTTGTAAGTTCATAAACAATTCTTACCCTGCTACAAGAATAAATAACAAGATTGAATCTGCATGATTCTCAAATATAGCTTACAGTCTTGGACATCTAACCTAAAATACCCCAGAAGGTGTCAAGTTGTCGACATTTATAGTCAGGGATATTCATCAAATAGTCGAACATAAACTTTTTCCAACTTGTCCCACCACTAAACAGTTCACGTAAACTACTTAAACTACACCACGTTTGAATGATTATATATCAGTGTCACTGATATCAATTTAACAAAATCTCACCTCTAAAATATACGAATGTCAACAATTTCTGGTTGCAAGTGAACGTCACGATATGAACCCCTGAAGAAGGACGTGTAGACAAGTTAGGGATGGCTAATGTCACAATGTATGTCCTTCTTTGTCAGGCATTGTTCTTCATTTTCCACCGATATCCACTTTTGTCAGTCATTGTCCCTCGTTGTTCATCAGTCACCATTGATGTCAGCCCTTACACTTAATTGTCTCTCGACACTCATTGTTGTCAGTCATTGTTCATCGGTAACCTTTGATGTCAGTCATGGTCCTTCATTGTTCCTCGGTACCCATTATTGTCAGTCTTTTTCCGTCATTGTTCATCAGTACCTATTCTTGTCATCCCCTAACCTTCATTGACCATCGTTAACCACTGATGTCAGTCATTGTTCTTCATTGTTTATCAGTAACCATTGATGTCAGCCATTACACTTAATTGTTTCTCAATACCTATTGTTGTCAGTCACCGTTCTTCATTGTTCCTCGATACCTATTGTTGTCAGTCATTGTCCTTCATTGTTCCTCGATACCTATTGTTGTCAGTCATTGTCCTTTATTGTTCCTCTGTACCTACATCTCTCAGTCATTGTCTTTAATTGTTCATCAGTTACCATTGATCTCAGCTCTTACGCTTAATTGTTTCTGGATACCCATTTCTGTCAGTCATTGTCCTTTGTTGTTTCTCGGTAACCATTGCTGTCAGTCATTTTCCTTCACTGTTCATCAGTTCCCATTGATGTCAGCTCTTATGCTAAATTGTTTTTCGATACCTATTGTTGTAAGTCATTGACTTTCATTGTTCCTCGGTACCTACTACTCTCAGTCATTGTCCCTCGTTGTTCCTCGCTACCAATTATTGTCAGTCATTGTCCTTCATTGTTCATCAGCAACTATTGTTGTCATCCCTTGTCCTTCATAGACCACAGTTATGCATTGATGTCAGTCATTGTCGTTCTTTATCCATCTGTATCCATTGTAATCAGTCATTTTCCTCCATTGTTCCTCAGTGTCCACAGTTGTCTGTCATTGTCCATCACTGTCCTTTATAACGAACTACTCACTATATTCAGTTTTCCCATTTGTTCTTCGTTGTCCTTCTATACCCTTCATTGTCTATCTTTGACCCACAAGCTTTGTTCTTCGTTTTCTTTCATTTTGCTTCATTGTGAGTCGTTGATCACCATTGTCCTGTTTTGCCTAGCACCGTCTGTCCATCTTTGCCATTTGTTGTCTGTCCGTGTCCATCTGTGACCTTCATTACAGCCTTGTGTTGCCCATTATTGTACCATACGGTGCGTGAGAGAGTTTTACACCGTTTTTAGCAATAGTCCAGCAATATGACGGCGGGGACACCAGAAATGGGCTTAAAAGATTGTACCCGTATTCAGAATCAAACCCGGGTCTTCGGCGTGACGAGCAAACGCTTTAATCACTAGTGTAATTGACCGCACCTCTATTGTACCATACAATTTCCATACGCTGTGAATCAGTATGTGTGTATCATAATAATACTGTCTTAGTACTGATGTACCATAATAAAATCAAATACCTATATTATTACTATTACTGTCCTCATGAAGACAAATACCTGAAATGCTGTAAAATGTGCAGCCGCATACTCCAAGTCATATTACGAGATAACCTTGCTGAACATTATTCCTACTGTTTCAGTTGAAGCATTATGACTGAATTTCACCAGAATTGGAGTGCTGGGAGATGGCGATGTATCGCAATAGCCTTGTCCCTTATAGCCCTGGCTTTAGTAGCCGCTCTCATTGCTGTCTGCGTGATGAAGGACAAGAGGTTTGAAAGTCAGGTGGTTGGTGATTGTGGAGAAAGTTTTGGGGAGCCCGATATTGACACATCAGAGGCAGATGAACCTGGGTTGTACGATGACCTTACAGTGAAGGAACTCAAAGCAATCCAGGACTATCTATACAGCCTGAAAATGCAGTTAAATCTCGAGAAGCAAGCTGAAGCCACAGTCAACGCTAGCTACATATATGTGTCAGATCTTCATCCACCCTTGAAATCAGAAGCTCTGTCTTACTTAAGTGGTTCTGGTCCTAAACCAGAAAGAAAAGCTCGAATTGTGATCTTCAGAGGTGACGCTGTCCCTCCTGTGTCAGAAGAATATATTGTTGGTCCTCTCCCAAATCCCAACAGTTGCAAATTGTTAAGCGTTCCAGGACGTAAAAATCCCGTTCCATATGCCTACAGGCCGATAGGATATGTCGAATTTGGGACATACTACATGAAACTGTTCCCAGAGGTAGACAAAAAGATTGGTTTTATTTTGAAGGAGAGTTATGGTGCTACATTTACAGACTGTGGAGACAGATGCCTAAATTTCTACCCAGCGCCTGTAGGGACTGGAGTAAGTAAAGTTAAGGTGAGGAAGATGTGGTTCACAACAAGTCATTTTGTTGAGTATTATGACCTGAATCCTGTTGATTTCCTGATGCTTGCAAATGTGGATTCTCAAGACCCTGCACAATTCTTCATTGAGAAGCTGGTATATGCTGGCCAGGAGTACACGAGTCTTGATGATCTCGCCACTCAGTACAGAGCTGGATCAATCCCCAAGTCAAGGATACCATTCCCCGAAAACATAGAAGAATTGAAGTCGTCATTGCACAGAAGAGGTGATCCTGTCCCGAAGAAGCCACAGAGAGCTCCCCGAATGTATGAACCTGACGGTAAGCGATACAGTGTACACCACCGTCATGTGGAATACATGCAGTGGGCCTTCGACTTCAGAATGTCCACTTTAAGCGGTCCACAAATTTACGACATCCGATTCAACAACGAAAGAATTGCATATGAAGTCGGCCTGCAGGAGATAGCTGTCTTTTATGCGTCCAACAACTCTGCTACACGAAGTGCAGATTTCATCGACAGTGGTGCTCTTATTGGCACCCACTCTCAATCTCTGGTTCCAGGTGCGGACTGTCCAGAGACAAGTACATTCTTTAACTACTCCTATTTGGGCGAATCTTCTGAGGAGCCAGTTCTTCTCCAGAGAGCCTTCTGTTTGTTTGAACTGAACCAAGGACTTCCTCTTCGTCGACATCTGTCATACAGTAAGGTTGAGGGTGGCTTCTATTCCGGAATGGAGGACAATGTCATAGTTCTCAGAAGCATCATGACCATTGTAAACTATGATTATGTGATTGACTTTATATTCCACCAAAGTGGAGCTATGGAAGTTCGAGTTCTATCAACAGGGTACATATTCGGCTCCTTCTATACCCCTAAAGAGGATCCGTATGGCTTCCAACTGAAGGAAAATACCATTGGTAGTATTCATCATCATCTCTTCCTCTTCAAAGCTGACGTTGACATTCATGGACCGAACAACAGATACGAGACCCTTGACATATCACGTGACGTTTCCCCCAATTCGCAGACGACAAACGACCCCAACTCAAAGTACTTTCAGATCAAGTATGAGCGTTCTCTCAAGACGACTGAAATGGATGCAGCCTTTAAGTTCAACTTTGAGAAGCCAAAATACCATGTGTTCCACAACAACGACAAGCCAACCAAATTTGGGGCAATGAAGTCTTACAGGTAGGCTTCTTTGAGACTTTCTGTATTTTTTTTTTTTACCTTTTTTGTTTTTAAAATCCTGCTCACGGTCTGTGTCTTGAAGATGTTCGAAATGTTTAAAAACAATAGTAAGAACTCTTTATAATTCTAAATAATTCTTGATTTAAAATCAAATGACAGATGTTTTCTTTACATTTCTGCGGATTGAACATGCAACCTTCGTATCTAGCCCAGTGAATGTACAACTTGGAGACAGAAGCGCTGATCAATCAGTAAGAGTAGCCGTGTGCCAGCAACAGATATTTTTCTCCCGTGTCCTTAGGTTAATGGAAAATATGTTTAAAACATAAAAAATGTTGATAAATGTTGTTTTAAGTTTCTTTTTCGGTTTATAAGTTAGATAAAACACTTTCCCTGAGGTTTTATGAGATTTTAAACCCTCATCCTCGGGATAAAACTTGTTTTCGGGTTATAGATCTCAAAGAATTTTTTGACGTGCTTTATCTTTCATTAGACACACAGTGGAATATTGATATTAAGGCATTTGTTTTCCCAGAATCCACCTCGACGGAATGACGAAAGTGCTTATCCCTGAGGATGAAGGTAATGAACCAGTTATTACATGGGCGAGGAACCAGATGACGGTCACCAAGTTCAAGGACGACGAAAGAGATGCCAGCTCCGTCTATGGCTTGTTCGATTCCATGGAACCCACAGTTAACTTCACATCGTTTTATACTGACAACGACGACATTGTTGATAAGGTAATGATTTGGATGAATAATCCGTGGAGGTAACCCATGTAAGAACATACGCTCACGAGTCGACTATACAACTATTGATTAGGTCATGGCAGTTGCACTATCCTGTGAATTAGAACCAAGGCCACCTACTCCTGGGTCAATACAAAAGGTGCAGGTAGTAGTTTAAAGATGAGGACATTTTCGGAGTGTGTCAAGGCATCAGGTTAAATCGACAGGAGAATAATTTGGGCATCATGTGAATGCAGATGAAAAGCAAAAATGTAGTAGAAAGCGTGGAAATAAATAATGCTTGGAAATTAATATGGATACGGTTACACAACTAAGAAAGTTAAACTCTTTGCCAACAAATTCGTTCTGAAGGTCGAAGTATGTTCAAGCTCAATCAAATATCATTAAGCATTACTTTGAATCCCAATCATGTACGTTGCAGCATCCAGTTGCAAACAGTCAGCATAGTCAAGCAAATTATTCAGGACCATTTATACTTCTTCTACTACTACTACTACTACTACTACTAATACTAATACTACTAATACTACTAATACTTCTAATACTACTAATACTACTTATACTACTACTAATAATAAGCATTCCACAGTTTTCTAAAACGAGCCAAGGATGTGGGACATAATCTCCATGTCAGTGTTGATTTTGTTGATGGTTCTGTACTGCTGGACGGTACATAAATGAGTGTCAACCAAGCTAAGTGCCATATCAAATCGGCCCAGACTTACTTTTTCAAGGAGAGGCTTTCTGAACGAACACTTCATCGAGTTTATGTGCAGTATGTTGAGATCAGCAATCCTGCAGAGTCCTTTGTGTGAATGAAGTCGTCTCGCCTGAAAAGTGAAACTGACTGCTTTCTGTTTGCTGCTCAGGACCAGTCATTTCCAACTCGCAACCGTCATTGTGTGATTTTGCATCAAAATGTAAATATGAAATATAGATTATGTAATGAATTTAATGAGACTGTCCAACACATTGTCAGTGGATTCCCAGCTTTGGCACAGACATAGTATCTTAAACGACATGATGGTGTAGCTCGATCATTTTATTACCGTCTTCGCCATGCTTGTGGTTTTGACACAGAGGTCAATCCATGGTACGACCCGGAATATGTAGAGGGCGTTATGGAAAATGATCAATACAAAATCCTTTAGAATAGGCCCATTTACAGCCTCAGACGTATCGAGGCCAACAAACCTGATCTTGTTCTTTTTGATAAATCCAATGAAATCATTTATATCATTGAATTTTCTGTGCCCTTTGACAGTAATGTGATTGACAAGTTTGAGGAGAAAATGGCATATATGACCTCGCTTTCGAAATGTCACGCTTGCATCCCAAGTACCAAGTTGTCCGACTCCCCATTGTTCTCGGTGCCTTAGGTTTGGTACCTCCCAATCTGTTGACTGATATTAGGAAAGTACCCTGGTTTGCTACCAGGAATACACACCTTCTGACAATCTGGATAATGCAGAAGGCTGCGATGTTGGGGAGTCTTCACATTCTCCGAAAAGTTCTGGGTGGGTTTTTTGACTAGGCAGCGCTTCCTGGGAGAAGTCCCATTCGCTGTCTGGGCTGCGTGTAGAGGGGGCAAGGGCCCTGAGCTGATGATGAGCCTAACCAGGATCACACAAACCCTCTTTGCTGCTTTTTATTTTATTTTAATATGTAAATAATAATAATAATAATAATAATAATAATAATACTACTACTACTACTAATAATAATAATGTAGCAGAGTACAAATGTAGACTAAAGAAAATCTGGAGTTCAGAGCTGAACGCTCGCTATACAGTAGTCAAAGCCACAAACACTAACGCTGTGCCCATCCTTTCGTATTCTTTTGGTGTTGTTGATTGGACGAAACGAGAAATCCAGGGTATTGACACCCTCACACGAAGAATCATGTCAGACAATAGATCCAACCACCCTCGCTCTTCCCTCAATCGCTTATATTTACCAATTATGATGGGAGGGCGTGGTTTGATTAATGTGGAGGCTCTTCGTGATAGAATTGCTTTGTGCACTTTTGCACACATTTATTTGTCATATGATCCTCTTGTGAAGCATGTCATGACTCATGTCATAACGACCCGGAATATGTACAATAATAATACGTTTTTTCTTTCTTGGTCCTTTGTAACCGTGGTACATCTAAGCCAAACAAAAACATCGAAAACCATAATTATAGCCATTATTAGGCTATTTACGGTAACAGATGTAATAACATTTGTTATAGTATCAATTCGTGACGGCGATCTGATTGACAAGGGACACAACCCGTGTTCTACACACGGTGGCGCCGCTATCAATCCAAGAAAAGTAGAATTGCAATGGCAAGGGTGGGAACTAGGCTTTGATACAGGCTAGTCGACACCCTCGTCTCAGGGGGATGGGGTAGAGACAGATGATATTTTCTCTTTTTTTCTTAGAATCTGTTTCCTTACGTCCTGTTTATCCCGGCTGTAAGTTTCATTTGTGTTGAAATATATGAATGTAAATAAGCTCATTTAAACAAAAGAGTTTTGAACAAGTTGTTAGCAGATAAGTATTAATGAAATATAGTTACTTGTTTCATAGTTCTCAGTTAGTCCATATCATTTAGGGATATTTTGGTATATGACACTTTTGATGATGAGCTGTTATAGTTGACATTTCAAACAGTTGCCTACACATGCAGGTGAGCCCCAGTGCCGGACACCTACTTGTGAGAAGCTTCTTTTTGACAAAATTATTTTGTAATGACCGTAACGTTTGAGCTAGCGCCACGATCCACCAACCACATTTAAACGTCTTTTGGGTTCATTAGGAAAATACCAATTAAACACTAGGCGAGTACAGTCAGTAAAGTGACAACCATGTACATCTCTGGAGTTAGTGGTATATATGATTAAGTGGTACACTAGGCAGTAGAAATGTCTCTGTCACTATGCACAAACGTAAATGCTGATACCTTCGTATATTTATCAATCATTATAACCCAGGTGGAACTAGATTTGTCGATGAGCGATATTTTACCTTTCTGGTACAACTTTTGATTCGTTCCTTCGTTCGTTTGTTCGTTCGTTGGTGGTTACAAGAGAAACAATAGTGGTTACCTTTACATTGTTTTAGGTCTAGCTAGATGTACAGTAGAATCGCCTGTTGCCAGATGAACCAGAAATTATGGATGGAATGATGTACTGTACTTTGAGTGGGTGAAGACTACAGATGAGCAGATGTGTGGAGACTTCACTTCACTTCATTACATGCTAAAATTGTGTTGTCATGCTGTCCTATGGTGAAGGTTTAACACCGCCGATAATCATCTACCACCATTGCCTTTGCTTGACTTTGTTTGTGTCAGCAAGGTGTTTGTTGGCTCCTTGGTAGGACAGAAGCAGCTTGCTGAGCAGCGTGTAGTCGCGGCGCCATATCAAATTAGTTCAGTTGTGTCAACGTAAAACGTGTCTTTCAATGATAGATAATTAAAATGGAACGAAATGCAACTATGTTGTGAAGAATGTTTGCCGTTAGGGGTTTGATTTCCCAAATAATTCAGCCGTCTTTGCAGGGATGTATATGGTATGCACGCGATGAGTGATGCGGTTGGATCGTGCATGGTTTGTATTCATACACACTTTGCTAATTGATTAAAATCATTGTTTGTGATATATAGGATACAAAACTCGTTCCCATTTCCTATCAAGTTAATGTACCTGGTGAAATGTTTGTCTTTGTATTACGTATAAACTCTTCCAGGACCTGGTGGCATGGATCAGTATGGGTGTCCATCACATCCCCCACACCGAGGACATGCCCATCACCCCCACCCCCGGGGCACATCTCAGCTTCGCCCTGCTTCCCTACAACTATTTCGAGGAATGCCCGTCCTCCCAGTCACGTGACTCCATCAGGGTAGAATACAAGGACAGCCACCACCCCGAGAAGGGAGCCCGGGTGGTTAGATACGGTAACGCGGAGAAGCCACGCTGTATCCCCAACGCTCCAGACTACGACGAAATGGTGGAGCGAAACCCGTCATGCGCATTAGAGGTGTAGAATCCCAAAGCAAAATGGAGATTTGCACTTCAAAAACAACAATACTGATCCATCCATTTGAATATTTTTAGGGTTTTATTCAGCAGACTTTATTCATAATTAATCAATTTGCTGGGGCGATGACAACTTGATGCCTGGATGTAATTCAACTGCATATTATCCCACTAAAATTATTCATTGAAATTGCCAACTGACTTATTATAACAGAAGAAATATGACGCTAAGGCGTCACTTGCTTTAAGCAACATCTCATATTGACTCTATCCATCCAGTTGGAAGGTAAGATTGCTTATCTTATTATCCAAACTCCAATGAAACAGCAATGAGTGTGTGGGCAAGTGACCACGGCGTGTCAGTTTCATGTTGGAGGAAGGCCAGAGCTACGTAGCTCCAAGAGATCATTTTCATGAAATCCACGAGCATAGGTATGCTGCCTACAAACCAAGAATCATATTAAGATCGTATCTAGAATTCGAACTAAGAAAAGCTGATCCTGGCACGTCTAACACCATCTGGTTAACAGAAAGTGAACACGTTCAGGCCTTGTTTCCTTTGAAATGACCACTGTGATTTGGCTGAAATACTGTTGAATATTGTCTTGGTGTGATACTTGTTGATATATATCGTTGATACTTCTCTTCTTCTATATACAAATAGTACTCTTTGTTGATTACATTTTATGTGTATCTGCTTAATCTCCATCAACAATGTTGTCAATATGTTTTAACAAACTAATCTAATTCCTTGTAAGAGAGTTGTGTATTATTCAGAAATATATTTTTAACGTATTTTCCCTCTGTTTTAGTTTGTCTTTATGTGAGAAATGACATATATTTTTGACAAACAACCTCAAGACTTTATACAGCATCGGAACGCCCTACAACATTATACCAATGCACTATACTCCCAGAAATATCTGACTACATATGCCTTCAATAATCAAGTGTTCAGATAGTGCGTTGAGTAAGTGTATGAGTGTCAGGTCTTAAGTAACGTCATCGTTATGTCGCATTAGATGCACAAGATTGGCCTTGTTCGCTGGCTCATCAATACAATATGTCAGTGTGATGTTGCTTAGTGGGTCATCAATAAAATATGTCAGCGTTGTATTGCTAACTAAGTTATCCATACAGAATGCCACTGTAGGCTTCTTACTTGGTTATCAATGCAGTGTGTGGACGTCGTCTTTCTCCCTGGGTCATCAATACAGTATGTCAGTGTAGTCGTCTCCCTTGGTCACCAATACAGTATGTGAATGTAATCGTCTCCCTAGGTCATCAATACAGTATGAGAATGTAGTCGTCTCCCTTCGTCGTCAATACAGTATGTCAATGTAGTCGTCTCCTTGAGTCATCAATACAGTATGTCAGTGTAGTCGTGTCCCTGGGTCATCAATACAGAATGTCAGTGTAGTCGTGTCCCTGGGTCATCAATACAGTATGTGAATGTAGTCGTCTCCCTAGGTCATCAATACAGTATGAGAATGTAGTCGTCTCCCTAGGTCATCAATACAGTATGACAATGTAGTCGTCTCCCTTGGTTATCAATACAGTATGTGAATGTAGTCGTCTCCCTAGGTCATCAATACAGTATGAGAATGTAGTCGTCTCCCTAGGTCATCAATACAGTATGTGAATGTAGTCGTCTCCCTAGGTCATCAATACAGTATGTGAATGTAGTCGTCTCCCTAGGTCATCAATACAGTATGAGAATGTAGTCGTCTCCCTTCGTCGTCAATACAGTATGTCAATGTAGTCGTCTCCCTTGGTCACCAATACAGTATGTCAGTGTAGTCGTGTCCCTGGGTCATCAATACAGTAGGTGAATGTAGTCGTCTCCTTGAGTCATCAATACAGTATGCGAATGTAGTTGTCTCCCTTGGTCATCAATACAGTATGCGAATGTAGTTGTCTCCCTTGGTCATCAATACAGTATGCGAATGTAGTTGTCTCCCTTGGTCACCAATACAGTATGTCAGTTTAGTGCCATATTTAAAATAAACAAGCAGTATTTCTTTTATATTATATTTTCTAAACAGTAAAACTGTCTCTTGTATAAAACTGCTGTTGATGTTGAAACCTGCTATACAGTTGCCTAATAGCCATAAGAAAAGTTTCTTCGATATAAAGGAATTATTCTGTTTTACATAGTCGACCAAAGAATAACAGTTTACATTTGTCTATATATGTATGCATTGACCATAGTCCAACTGCTGTTATGGTGGGCTCCCATACTGATCTACAAGAGAATCCTTGTGCACGTCGGGCAAACATTCTCTGGGTGGTTTCCAGTTTTGTGTATGAAGCATCAGATATGTTGGTGAACAACTCTGTCGTCGTCTCCCTGGGTCATCAAGTCAGTATGTGAATGTCATCGTCTCCCTGGGTCACCATACAGTATGTGAATGTTGTCGTCTCCCTGGGTCATCAAAACAGTATGTGAATGTCGTCGTCGCCCTGGGTCATCAAAACAGTATGTGAATGTCATCGTCTCCCTGGGTAATAATACAGTATGTGAATGTCATCGTCTCCCTGGGTCATCAATACAGTATGTGAATGTTGTCGTCTCCCTGGGTCATCAATACAGTATGTGAGTGTTGTCGTCTCCCTGGGTCATCAAAACAGTATGTGAATGTCGTCGTCTCCCTGGGTCATCAATACAGTATGTGAATGTCATCGTCTCCCTGGGTAATAATACAGTATGTGAATGTCATCGTCTCCCTGGGTCATCAATACAGTATGTGAATGTTGTCGTCTCCCTGGGTCATCAATGCAGTATGTGGATGTCGTCGTCTCCCTGTGTCATCAATACAGTATGTGAATGTAGTCGTCTCCTTGAGTCATCAATACAGAATGTCAGTGTAGTCGTCTCCTTGAGTCATCAATACAGAATGTGAATGTAGTCGTCTCCTTGAGTCATCAATACAGTCTGTAATTATAGTCGTCTCCTTGAGTCATCAATACAGAATGTGAATGTAGTCGTCTCCTTGAGTCATCAATACAGTATGTGAATGTAGTCGTCTCCTTGAGTCATCAATACAGTCTGTGAATGTAGTCGTCTCCTTGAGTCATCAATACAGAATGTCAGTATAGTCGTCTCCTTGAGTCATCAATACAGTATGTGAATGTAGTCGTCTCCTTGAGTCATCAATACAGTATGTGAATGTAGTCGTCTCCTTGAGTCATCAATACAGAATGTCAGTGTAGTCGTCTCCTTTAGTCATCAATACAGTCTGTGAATGTAGTCGTCTCCTTGAGTCATCAATACAGTATGTGAATGTAGTCGTCTCCTTGAGTCATCAATACAGTATGTGAATGTAGTCGTCTCCTTGAGTCCTCCATACAGAATGTCAGTATAGTCGTCTGCTTGAGTCATAAATACAGTATGTGAATGTAGTCGTCTCCTTTAGTCATCAATACAGAATGTCAGTGTAGTCGTCTCCTTGAGTCATCAATACAGAATGTCAGTGTAGTCGTCTCCTTGAGTCATCAATACAGTCTGTGAATGTAGTCGTCTCCTTGAGTCATCAATACAGTATGTGAATGTAGTCGTCTCCTTGAGTCATCAATACAGTATGTAAATGTAGTCGTCTCCTTGAGTCATCAATACAGTCTGTGAATGTAGTCGTCTCCTTGAGTCATCAATACAGTATGTGAATGTAGTCGTCTCCTTTAGTCATCAATACAGAATGTCAGTGTAGTCGTCTCTTTGAGTCATCAATACAGTCTGTGAATGTAGTCGTCTCCTTGAGTCATCAATACAGTATGTGAATGTAATCGTCTCCTTGAGTCTTCAATATAGAATGTCAGTATAGTCGTCTCCTTTAGTCATCAATACAGTATGTGAATGTAGTCGTCTCCTTGAGTCATCAATACAGTATGTGAATGTAGTCGTCTCCTTGAGTCATCAATACAGTATGTGAATGTAGTCGTCTCCTTGAGTCATCAATACAGAATGTCAGTGTAGTCGTCTCCTTGAGTCATCAATACAGTATGTGAATGTAGTCGTCTCCTTGAGTCATCAATACAGTATGTGAATGTAGTCGTCTCCTTGAGTCATCAATACAGAATGTCAGTGTAGTCGTCTCCTTTAGTCATCAATACAGTCTGTGAATGTAGTCGTCTCCTTGAGTCATCAATACAGTATGTGAATGTAGTCGTCTCCTTGAGTCATCAATACAGTATGTGAATGTAGTCGTCTCCTTGAGTCCTCCATACAGAATGTCAGTATAGTCGTCTGCTTGAGTCATAAATACAGTATGTGAATGTAGTCGTCTCCTTTAGTCATCAATACAGAATGTCAGTGTAGTCGTCTCCTTGAGTCATCAATACAGAATGTCAGTGTAGTCGTCTCCTTGAGTCATCAATACAGTCTGTGAATGTAGTCGTCTCCTTGAGTCATCAATACAGTATGTGAATGTAGTCGTCTCCTTGAGTCATCAATACAGTATGTAAATGTAGTCGTCTCCTTGAGTCATCAATACAGTCTGTGAATGTAGTCGTCTCCTTGAGTCATCAATACAGTATGTGAATGTAGTCGTCTCCTTTAGTCATCAATACAGAATGTCAGTGTAGTCGTCTCTTTGAGTCATCAATACAGTCTGTGAATGTAGTCGTCTCCTTGAGTCATCAATACAGTATGTGAATGTAATCGTCTCCTTGAGTCTTCAATATAGAATGTCAGTATAGTCGTCTCCTTTAGTCATCAATACAGTATGTGAATGTAGTCGTCTCCTTGAGTCATCAATACAGTATGTGAATGTAGTCGTCTCCTTGAGTCATCAATACAGTATGTGAATGTAGTCGTCTCCTTGAGTCATCAATACAGAATGTCAGTGTAGTCGTCTCCTTGAGTCATCAATACAGTAGGTGAATGTAGTCGTCTCCTTGAGTCATCAATACAGAATGTCAGTGTAGTCATCTGCTTGAGTCATGAATACAGTATGTGAATGTAGTCGTCTCCTTAAATCAATACAGTATGTAAATGTAGTCGTCTCCTTGAGTCATCAATACAGAATGTCAGTATAGTCGTCTGCTTGAGTCATCAATACAGTATGTGAATGTAGTCGTCTCCTTGAGTCATCAATACAGTAGGTGAATGTAGTCGTCTCCTTGAGTCCTCAATACAGTCTGTGAATGTAGTCGTCTCCTTGAGTCATCAATACAGTATGTGAATGTAGTCGTCTCCTCAAATCAATACAGTATGTCAGTGTAGTCGTCTCCTTGAGTCATCAATACAGTATGTGAATGTAGTCGTCTCCTTGAGTCATCAATACAGAATGTCAGTATAGTCGTCTCCTTGAGTCATCAATACAGTCTGTGAATGTAGTCGTCTCCTTGAGTCATCAATACAGAATGTGAATGTAGTCGTCTCCTTGAGTCATCAATACAGAATGTCAGTATAGTCGTCTCCTTGAGTCATCAATACAGAATGTGAATGTAGTCGTCTCCTTGAGTCATCAATACAGTCTGTGAATGTAGTCGTCTCCTTGAGTCATCAATACAGTCTGTGAATGTAGTCGTCTCCTTGAGTCATCAATACAGTCTGTGAATGTAGTCGTCTCCTTGAGTCATCAATACAGAATGTCAGTGTAGTCGTCTCCTTGAGTCATCAATACAGAATGTCAGTATAGTCGTCTCCTTGAGTCATCAATACAGTCTGTGAATGTAGTCGTCTCCTTTAGTCCTCCATACAGAATGTCAGTGTAGTCGTCTCCTTGAGTCATCAATACAGTATGTGAATGTAGTCGTCTCCTTGAGTCATCAATACAGAATGTGAATGTAGTCGTC